GAGAGGGAGACACAGAATCGGAAACAGGCTCCAGGTTCTGAGCCATCAGCCCAGAGCCTGACGCGGGGCTCGAACCCACGGACCGCGAGATCGTGACCTGGATGAAGTCGGACGCTTAACCGACTGCGCCACCCAGGCGCCCCAATCCAGCATTTTTGCAAAGTATTGCAGCCCTAGCCGTGCTTTTGAACTGAATTGCCACATGTAACCTGTGAAACATACCCAGAGTTCTAGCTTAAGGACGATTGGGAGATTTCTTTTTATCTTTATTCCCATCTGCTGAGTGAAGGGATTTCCTCAGCATCAAGAAGTAGTGGAAGGGCCAATGGCCTGTGGTGTTGAAGCTCAGGAAATGGGGCTGTAGGTGAGAATGTATGGGGCCCAAGGGCGTGTTGCTGATAAAATTTCTAGGAAAATTTAGCTGTTGCAAACACCTCTATAGTTACCACCTTGCTTTTCTTCTGAGGGCTCCAAGCATCAGTTTTTTAAAATTCCTTTCTTCTGTTTGACCGAGATTCCTTTCTTCCCTGGCCCACTGTGGGATCGGAACCGTGTTTCGTTGCTTCTTAATTTCCCTGATGTTTCTGAAGCAGATACAGTTCTTTTAAGATTTTTCTGGAGAGTGATATTCTTTGCAGTGAGGCAAAAGGTGAGAGGGAAAGAGTGCTTCTATAGCATTTTTCAAACTGCATGTCAGGACTCATTGGTGAATCATGAAATCAATTTCGTGGCTTGTAAAATTGAGTTAGAAGGTAGCAGCCAGAATTTCATTGTTTTGTTTTACTTCTAATGGAATAAAAAAGAAAATATTGCAGGTAGTTAGTCGGTACTGTTTCATATTTGAATGAATATGTGTGTGAGTGTGTGTATATGTATGTATTATGTATTACTAGTCATGTAGGTAAAAAGTGTTACTTATTGTGGATCACACTGAAAAACTTTAAAAGCTCACACTTTGTGGTGCTTTTCTTTTTCACCTTCTTTTCCTTCTCTCATCCTTTCTCAGCCTCCCCCCACTTCAGTCGTTGCTGTTATTGGTAGATAGTGAGGGTCAGGCAGTTAATTAGAAAGGGGTCTCTCTGATAACAAAGTCCTAATGTCGTATTTTCCCTTTTTTGTACCTCTATTATGTTACTTGTCATTTTCTATTCATTCATCTTCTGAACATTTGTATATGCCAGGTACAATTCTCTGCACTCTTTATTCGTTACGCATCTGAAGATGATTTATGAAGTGTCCACTTGTGTACGAGGCATTAAGGGGAATGAAGATACCTGTGATAACAGGCCTTACTCTTGGAGTTTACTGTTTAGGGTACCATTGTCTAAACTCTGTCCTTCCCTTCACCCCTCTACTCTGCTCACCGTTAGGTCTTTGGAATCATGGGGTAACAAAGTTAGAAAAAGCCTAGTCTGACTCTAAGAATTTTAGATTTTATTTGTACAACAGATAATTTTTGGATACCCGTTATGTCCAAGCTCTGTTTGAGTTGTTTAAGACACATCAGAGAACAAAACAGACAAGAAGCTCTGTCCTTTTGGAACTTGCAGTTTAATTGGGAGAGATACAATAGGCAGTTAACATAAAGAAGAGTCAAGTATATAGCATGCTAGAAGGTGATAATGCTATGTAAAAAAATAGAACAAAGTAAGGGGGATTGGGAGTCTCAGATGTTGGGAGGGTAGATTGCAATTTTAAATAGAGTAGAAGGGTTTATATTTTTCGAGAAGGTGACGTTTGAGCATAGACTTGAAGAGGGTGCTGGAGTTAGCCTCAGGAATGTGTTAGCTACAGGGTACCTGAGAGAAGCATTGAAGGCAGAGGAAATAGCCAGGGGAAAGG